TTCTTCTTCTTCTTCTTCTTCTTCTTCTTCTTCTTCTTCTTCTTCTTCTTCTTTTTCAGCTAGATCTCAGGGGATGCAAATTAGCTAATGAGGTACCGATATTCAAGCATTTCTATTGAGCCAAAAAATAATGTATTCTCATTATTTCTACCTCACCCCTCCCCAGGAGTAAACTATTGGCAATTATGAAAACATTTCATTGTATATGAATTTTGGTATGTCAGCCTTACCCTGTAACAACTTATATTTTCTTAGAATTTTAAAATGTGCCTTGTTATATATTTCTGCGTAGTTGACTTTTAATTGAATTGAATGGTATGTCTGTTTTTCCCTCATCTAGTCTCTACATCGGATCAACATTGATTATTGTTCTCAACGGATATGATGTCATCAGGGAAGCATTCATGCACAGGGCAGATGTGTTTACTGATAGACCGCGTTTGTTCATAGATGAGGCAAGTGTGTTTTAGTGTTGATCTATTGCTTGTTTTGTTGTTGTTGTTGTTGTTGTTGTTGTTGTTGTTGTTGTTATAGTTGTTGTTATTGTTGTTGTTGGTGCTGGTGTTGGTGCGAATATATTTTTTTGGCCTTGTAATAGTTTTTTTTGGTCTTGATTTGATTAGGGTATTTTTTTCTTTGATTTTGCTATAGCTGCTGTCAGTTCAATTCTGGATGGTATACCACACTTCATTTAACATGATGATAATCACACGATCTCGATCTTACCAAAGTAATCTTAGACCTGGTCAACAAACATTAATGGTTACGTTTTTTTGTGTAAAGATTATTTCCAAAACGCTTTGTTTCCTGCACAATTGCTTATTTCTTTTATTCAAATGAGGCATAATGTCTTATTAAACATAATGATTTAGATCTCTTTGTAAAAGAAGACTCTGTAGTGCATAGAACATATTGAGCCTCCCACCTCCAAAATGACCTTTTCAAAGCATGTTGTTTAACGTATACACAACTAGAATGGATCTGAAAAGAAGATGGAATATTAGTTTCGAGAATAAAAAAATAACATTAAATCTTTTTCAGGTTTCTGGCTATGCTGGTACCGGTGTCATTTGTTCATCTGGTGCCAATTGGAAAGAACAGCGTACGGTCTCTCTAAACATTCTGAAGTCTTTTGGCATGGGGAGCAGCGGTCTGGAAGGAAAGGTTCGAGAGGAAATGGAGCACTATTTGGAATTTCTTAAAAGCCTTAATGGACATCCAGCAGACATCAGCCTCAGAACTTATATGAGTACTTCTAATATTATATTTTCGATGACCTTCGGTCAAAGATTTAAATATTCAGACAAAACTTTTGAAAATATCGTGAAACTTATGGAGTATAATATATCGCTTATTCAATTAACGGGGCTCGTTAACTTCTTTCCCGCATTACATTATGCGCCTGGAGATCCTTGCAAATCAAGAAAATTAATCTCGAACGCTCGTGAAGTTGCTGAAACGTTACGAAACCTGTGTCTGAAAATGAAAAATGACAATACTTCTAACAACAAGTCTGGCGACTTTATTTCGGCTTATTTCTCAGAGGCTGAAAAGAGGTCGATTACGGGTAAAGAGACGTTTATGGACGAAACTAATTTAACCAAGATTCTCGTTGACCTGTTCGCAGCAGGCACCGACACTACAAGCGTGACGATTATGTGGTGTATACTCTACGTTCTCCACTGCCCTGACGTCCAAGAGAAAATTCACGCCGAAATCGAGAGAGAAATCGGATCAACAAGAAGCCCCACTTTGGAGGACAAGACGAAACTGGTTTATCTAAACGCCGTCATTATGGAAACTCAGAGATTATGTAGTATAGTTCCGTATGGAGTACCCCACACATGTACGGAAGAAACGAGGCTAAAAGGTTATACAGTCCCGAAAGGCTCTTTCATTTTGTCGAGTTTAGATTCTGTTTTACTCGACGAAAAGACATGGGGATTAGACGCTGCCAAATTCAAGCCAGAAAGATTCATAACTCCGTCAGGACAACTGCGGTCACGGAAAGAGTTCCTGCCCTTTGGTTTCGGCAGACGGATGTGTCTCGGGAAATCCCTGGCCAAAATGGAGCTGTTTCTGTTCCTGTCCAACATGTTCCAGCGGTTCTCCTTCTTACCGCAAGAGCCAGGCACAGTGCCACCTCTAAAGGAAACGTTCGGACTAGTACGAGCACCTCGGAAGTTCCTTGTACGTGTTGTGGATAAAAATAAATAGGATTAACGAGATAGCTTGTGTATGCATATTATTATTGTGTGTGTGAGAGAGAGAGCATGTGTGTGTGTGTGTGTGTGTGTGTGTGTGTGTGTG